ATATATGATATATATAGATATACAAATATATGTTGACGTGAGATGGAAAAAGGTTTTAATCCAATTTGGAATTGGGCTTACTACAAGCCCATGCAAATTAATTAAAAGGTCAACATATTAAACCTAATCGGTTTTTGGTTTGCACAAGCGTGTGTATATATAGCCGCAACAAAAGAGAACAACATTCTTACAAAACCCTAAAAACATAAGAGACAAATTGTTTGTCTAAGTTTTGAGATTAGATCTCAACGGGACTAGCATCCTATCTGATCCAGTTTGTGTGTGTGTGGATACCAGTAGAGGCACAACACTTGGGGTGCTAAAATAACCTTGAAACAATATAGTCACATTTTCGCTGCATAATATCCAGGTATATTCAAACCCTATGATCTAGATTCAATTCTTTATTTATACAGTTCCTGGCAATTAAATTCGTAAATATATAGTATTTATAAATCGTTATAAACCGGTACGAATTCCTACATGTATAATAAAATATAAAGAGATTATTGGAGAATGAAATGAGCAATTTTTAACTAGCCGCTTGTTTCGCGACATTGGCGGAACTGTTGCTCGTTATTTCTTACTTTAATAGAAGAGAGTAAGAGACTATATGAGTGTTTCAGTAAAGTTTATGTTAGATGAATTTTAGATTATGTCTAATATATCTGTAAAAAAATGTCGGATATAAATTATTATTAGATGAAGATTGTTTTAATAACAAAAATATGATCATAAAAAAAAAGATTATACATTAATTTTTAATATTTAAACCAATTGATAGAAAGAATAAGAAAAATAAATTATTTTAAAAACTTTCTGCGATAATACACCCCGTTGACGAAAAGTAGATATTTATATCATTTAAAAAAAGGAAAAAAAAGGAAATTAGTGGAAGTCTTTAACTTTAACTTTTACTAGATGTTAACCCGCGGTACACCGCGGGCCTATATTTTTATTAAATAAAAATTTTTATTTTTATTTTAAGGCTTTTCTTCTACATATATGCTATTGTTTTTATTTAAATGTATATACATAGATATGTATATATTTATATATTGTAGGATTAGTATATTTTTAGTTCATAAATGAAAATATAGAGATAGAGATAAATGATTGGAATTTTATGTTTTTTAATTCGTTTATATTATATACTATATCGTTTACGTTAATGATGTTTTAACAAAAAAGATATGGAACTATAGTTCTCAAAACGTACATTCGTTATTATAACTAGATGAATTTCCACGCAACGCGTGAGTTTGATTTGAAATTTGTTAAGATAAAAATATGTTAATTGTTTTTGTCGCTAATTTATGTTTATATTTTGTTTGTTATTGTATAATTAATAAAATTAGACTCATCTTATGTACTTACAATTTTTATTGTTAGATTCGTTTTTACTCTAAATATCAATTTATACTTTTTCATGTATAATCTGATTATTTTTATATCTAAAATTCTAATATTTGTTAACTATCATGAATACACACAACAAGAATATAAGATATTTTGATCTCAAGAGTTTTCGTATGAAAAGAATAAAAGGAAAGCAAAAATTAAAGAGTTATTTAAGTAACACTTTTAGATTTTATGCTATTGCATATAACCATAAAAGAAAAATGGATTTGTCTTAAATTTTGTGGCATGTCTAACGTATCAAAAGCTCATTACTTGAAAAATTTTGCATGTCAATGTTACGAACTTACCATAAAGGAAATAAATAGTTGTTAATATCTTGTTGTTTCTTTTGTATATAAAGTTTTTTAAGAACAGAAACCATACTATTTTTCATTAAAACAAAAACTTTATGTATAGTAATTTTTAAACACAAAGGAAATAAATAGTTGTTAATATCTTGTTGTTTCTTATGGAAAAAATGATTTTAGCTATTGAGAATATTTGTAGTACTTATCTGTTTAAATTTGTGTGGTGTAAATAAAAAAACAAATAGGAAAAGACAAACAATAATTTGAGAAATTATATCTCAATATTTGTCTACAAATTAAATCGTGCAATAAGTAAAGTTGAGATTTGTTTTTTAATAAAGGATTTGCTATTGAATGCATAAGAAAGAAAATGTTACAAAGCCAAAAGGCCTAATAGGCAAAGAGCCCAACACGCACAAAAGAAGAAACATTTTTTTTTTTTTTTTTTTTTTTTCCCTAAGAAGAACCATTTTGAATCATGAGAAGTTGAGAACCCAACATGGGTAGTAATTGGAATTAGTGGTAAATCCTATCGTTTTGTGTTACAACATTTTGAATCACGATTGTTTTGTGTTAGTCAACGAAGACGAAGAACCAAGTTTGGAACATTGCCGAAGCTTCTGAATCACTTTGACGGAGGCTTGCAATCCTGTTCCGAATCAGCAGATCTGCTTCCTTAATAAATAATTGCATCAGTGGATCTAAAGGAGTTTCGATGATTTCTAGCGTTTCGCTCTTTCCTGATCAGATACATCGATGCCTCCCAAGCCAATAAGAGTAATTTGCGGAGAGGCTTCGGAGAAGAGAAGCCTTGAAGATGTTTTAGTAGAGAGTCCCGTGAGCGGCTGACTGGAAATTGCATCTTCGAGAAACGTTTCCCACGAGTAGTTGCATCTGACGATTCTTTTTGCCTCATTCTTCATATTTATTTTCGATTTGTAAATCTGAGAATTCGATAAAAGAAGATCAAAACCCAGTTTCCAAGAGATCCGAGATCGACTACTTATTCAAGATCCAATAAGTCCATGGGGAGCCGACAACAACAAATAAGATCTGCTTGAAAGGTAAGAGATACATATTTGCTGCTACTGTAATAATCGATTCGATGCTTAATAAAATCTGACTGCATATTTTGTTTGTTTATATCTTGATTTTACAATGACTTCCATACAGCAGATAAAAATCTATGCTAATTATATAAAGTTTCTCCCACGTTGGGGCACTTTCTAAGTTTATTAGAGCATTTGAGGCACTTTGGGGGTAGTGAGCACTTTTTAAGTTTTTCAAACCAATCAATACCATTTTACCCTCCCTTTTCTCCTTCTTCTAACAATCGAATAACAAACTAGTTAGGATAGGAAGAAATCTGCTTTAATTGTGGGCCGTCAGATTAAAGTTAAAGTTCAGATCTAATGGCTATAGATGGACACAGTTTCCTGAGTGAGATCTAGTTGTTGGATAAAAATAGAATAAATGTATTGGTAATAAAAGAGATATTTAGAGGTTATTCAAATTGATAATCAATTTTTCTTTTGTATAATAGACTATAATTACGATTTTCCTTCGTTTTAAGATCCATATTACTATATTTTATTTGTATAATTATATTAAACATTGTCCTTTTTTTATTGTACATATATTCGTTACTGAATGGATGGCATATCCACCAAACTATGACCACGTGGTCATATCAATTTAGGTCTAATTTATTTTTTCACTCTAATGAAAAGTATATCACAATAAACCCTAGAATAATTGTAGACAATCATGGTTCCTTAACCATAATAGCTTGAACCCAAACCATATAAAATAAATCCTAAACCCTGAACCCTAAACCCTAAACCATAGACATTAAACCCTAGTCCCTGAACCTAAACCTTAAACTCTAAACTTAAAACTCTAAACCCTAAAACCTAAACCATATATAGAGAA